TAGATATATATATATATATATATATATATATTTATGGACATGTTTAGCAGTATCAAGCCTAGATATATTTTGTTTTTCGATGGACATGTTTAGCAGTATCACGATTAGATGTGTTTTGATGTTCTGATGGATATGCTCAGCTGTATGACATCTAGATATGTTTTTGTTGTATTGATGGACATACTTAGCAGTATCTCGCTTGGGTGTATTTTTGTTGTTTGATGAACGTGTTTACCAGTATCAGGTCTGGATATGTTTTGTTGTTTTGATGTACATTTTTAGCAGTATTAAGCCTAGATGTATATATATATATATTTATGGACATGTTTAGCAGTATCATGATTAAATGTGTTTTGATGGGCATGCTTAGCTGTATGACATCTAGATATGTTTTTGTTGTATTGATGGACATATTTTTAGCAGTATCGCTTCTGTATCTGTTTTTGTTGTTTTCGTAACCCATGTTTAGAAGTATCACATCTGTATATTGTTTTTGCTGTTTTGAAAGACATGGTTAGCAAAATAACACCTGGATATATTTCTGTTGTTCTGATAGACATGTTCAGTGTATGAAGTTTGGATGGGTTTTCCTTGGTCTGACTGATAGTTTTAGTACTATCAGGTCTGGATGAAATTTTGTTATTTTAATATATAGTTTTAGCTGTATCACGTCTGAATGTTTTTTATTGTTCTGTATGACATGTTTAGCAGGATCATGTCTAATTTGGTTTTGCTGGACATGTTTATCAGTATCATGTCTGTATGTGTTTTTGTTGTTTCGATGGAAATGTTTATGTTACGTCTGGTTATATTTCTGTTGTTCTGATGAACTTGTGTAGCAGTACCACGTCTGGTTGTGTCTTTGTTGTTTTGGTAAACATGTTTAGCAGTATTACGTCTGTTTGTGTTTTTTGTTGTTCTAATAGATATTTTTAGCAGTATCGCGTCTGCATATATTCGGTTTGATTTGACCTTTTATAACTTCAGCGTTCTTTTGTCATACCGAGATCTTTTCACACTATTAACTTTTATTACTTCTTCACACGGACTTAGTGTAATCTCATTGTTATAATTTTCTCATGAGTAGGTATGATTGTTTGACACTGCATTACTTTATAGTATCCTTATTTCTTAAATCTTAATTGTTCTTTTTTTTTGCGAAGTTATATATCAGACTTACCATATTGTGTATCCCCTTCCACGTTTTTGATAAGTATGTGGCGGTTGTCTTCTCGCCGCCAGGTAACTTTTGGGGTCGGGTATCCTTTAGCTAGGCAGGACAAAGTGACGTTTGTACCTTCTTTTACAAGTTCATCTGCACTAGAGCTTCTCAAATCGATCTCAGGCGGAACTGAAACGTCCATGTTAAGCCAACAAAAGTGTTAATGAAATTTTTAGTAGAAAACTGTAGAACGAACGTATTATCAAAAAACATTAACATTTTATCTATCTTCCCTATCCTTCAAGGTGGTTGAAAGCTATTATGTGTTGTTACATTGTATATAGATACACTATTACTGATATAAAGCTAAGTCTTAAGAATATACTGCTAAATCAGGCACTTAATACATGTGAATGTTGTCCATTGTTTGTTTTTTATACATAAAATCATCATTTGAAATAATCGCGAATGTGCATTCTTAACTCGTATTTTTAGTACTTAATAATACGGTATTAATCACCATCTAGCAAGCGCGATTTCTTATCACTGACATTAGACTTATTGGTTCCATTATTTCGTCAGCTTTCGACACCATAACATTAAATTTTTTTTGCTGTATAAAAAATAGCATCTTGGATAGACATTCGACTGCCTTCACATGCAGCCCGGCTAACGAGTTCTGAAACTGAGCAAAAGACCCCCTGGTCAATGACTTGTGGCGAACAAAAGATAGGCCTAAAATGCCGTTTTTCAACCATCTCTAATTTGAAATCTATAATACACTTGTTTAGGCGAATGTGAAAAAACGTCTGCAGCCTAGGTGATTTTGTCGTTAACTTGACAAGTCGTTGAAGTATTTAAAATGTGTGCTTATAACACCTAAATAGAAATTTAGAAATTTTGAGCCGAAAAAAAAAGTTATAATTTTATTTTTGTACGAGAATGAAAATGAGGTTTAATTTAAGATTTTTTCTGTTGGTAGAAATTAAAAGGAATCAAAACTTTTTGTACCGTAAGTAAAGAACGGATCATCATAGTTATTTTTCCTTTTACTTTTTTACGAACATTTTATTTTTATTTTAATCTTGTTGAAATTATTGTTAAAAATGCTTTTTCCTGAATACATTAAACTATTCCTTTAAAACTCAACATGTTCTTTCATGGAACAATGCTCTACTTTATGAATAATTTTAGATATACATCGGTCCATATACACAGCATTTTCTTTACTTCAACTGGAAGCATGTCGGGCTAGCACGAGGATGTGTATGTCATCTCTAAATGCCCTGAGCTTCTCCTTGTTCCGTCTGGATCAAGAGTGCTTACTGCTGGATTCCATCATTGGTTTAAGGGGGGAGCAAGTGTGCGAGAAAACAACATAGTCTATATGATATGAGAGTATATACTGCGCAGTATTATCAGATATTTTATATATCTTAGGATATATTGCGACCCACGTAGATAGCATCTAACGTCAAACAGTACTAAAACAGCAATTTTAAAGTATAACTTGTATGATGTTAGAATGTATTACGTCCCTAAATGTCCATATTACATAAAACCGTATAAAAGAATATGACTTTAATTACATGATATAAATACACATTGCGCTTTTAGATACCAATCTTATTTCAAGCTGTAAACAAATAAAAAAGCAACTTTTTTTTTACTATTGTAGTTTACTATACAAGTTGCATTATACAAGACTTATGATTGCTAAATCTATATATTTCATTCTGTAACAGCTGGATAATAGAAAGTAAACTGCAAGTGTGGTGATTTTTGAAGTATCTTTGAAAATATATTTTCTTTTAGAATCAATGTGTTATTATACATTTTGGTACATGTTTTAACGTTCTAAAGTGAATCACTGTGAGGTTTATGTTTATAAATATTTTTTTTTCCAGAAACAAAAGTGTATATAGCTGATAATTTAACTATGATATAATATAACGTCTGATCTTCCGTAAGGTACAGAAATCATGTGAGCTAGATCGTGTGAAAAATGACACATTCGACATTCTACGCCTACTTGCTTCACATATAAAGAATAATCTTACACAGCACATCCAGGTGTCCCACTTGACTCATCATGGGTACCGTGTTCAACTGACACATGTAACTTCCAACATCCGACTTCTGGACATCCTTAACTTGCAGGACAAAGTTCTTGTTGTCCGAATGGCTCAAACTAATCCGATAATTTCGGGTAATGAGATTTTGATGAATTGAAAGTATTGCCTTTGACTCAACCTTCAACCAAGCAGCCTGAAATATAGGTAAAAATCTTAAATATGATAATAACAATGCAAAATCACATGTTGAATATCTTCATTTCTCAAACAAGAAGCTAAACGTATTAACAATGTATTGGTCATGGACCAGACAGTTATCACTTGCAAACTGATAAAGAACAAAAGAAAGTATTAGAATACATAACATATAAAAATGAAGATACAACATCAAATTAGCGACCATTGAGAATTATTACAGGTCAGCACAATAACAGCACATGTGCGCGCGCGCAAACAGATATAACTATAGCGTAACACGTGTAGAGTAGAGATCGACACAGGTATTCTGAAACACGGCTACCCGTCGAATGTTAAGTTACCGAACGCGAAACAATTTTCTTTTAAGTACCGTGTATCAATTATTGATTTAAGAAACTACCTTGTATAAATCCTTATGAACATCAGGTTTCGACAGATTAAAAAACAAGGAAAACGCAGGCAGTCGAATAATAGAGTTCAGGAGTATGAGTGCGCAACTAACAAATACGGATTGTTTTATTTTGAATTATTGCGCACATGTGGTTTTTTACCAAAAAATAAAATAAATAGCCTGCGCAGATGTTGTTTCTTACCAAAAATATCAAATAAATAGCCTGCGCTAATGTGGGTTCTTACCAAAAATATCAAATAAATAGCCTGTGCAGATGTGGTTTCTTACCAAAAATATCAAATAAATAGCCTGCGCAGATGTGGTTTCTCACCAGAAATATCAAATAAATAGCCTGTGCAGATATGGTTTCTTACCAAAAATATCAATTTGTGATTTAAGAATGTGGTCAGTTCTGCCCATGCAGGTGTGAGAGATGTGCGTCAGGCAGTGATTGTTAGTCACACTGTAG